AAAAAATAAGACAAAAATCTTCTTTAGCAATCATATATATCTGACATTTATATATATATATATCTGGTCCGAGTTTTAAACCTGTTCACTTATCACATTTAATATAAAAATACTTTGTAAAAAAAAGTAAACAATTTTGTAAAAAAACAATAAAATGATTAATCAAATATGTACTCATGGGGCTGGGGTTGTGGCTCAGCAGTACAGCGCTCAGTGCTCGCCTAGCATGTGTGAGGCCCTGGGTTTGATCCTCAGTATCACATAAAAATAAATAAAAAAATAAAGGTATATAAAAAATATGTACTCCCAAGAGAAATGTCATGTAGCAATGGGAGAGGGTAAACGTATGAAAATAATATTTCAACAAGAATACTATAGTTCAAAAGGAATGTATTCTTATGGGACTCTGTGGGCAGGGAGAAGAAAAGAAAAGTGATTGACTTTAAAGAGAGAGGTTTAAAAGAGAGCATGAGTGATGGGGTAACAAGATGTATCTATGATGGAGGATATTGCAGGTGAGCAGTAGAAGAGAACTTGGGAAGGGTGCACTCTGATCACACCAAGGATGCCCATGAGGTCCAGCATAAAGACAGAATGATGGTTTCTAAATCTGTGCACCACATAGTAGAAATGGACAACAGAGCGAATGGCGTGCATGTCACGGCACAAGTATAGAAGCAGTTGGACCTGCATGGAGACTAAGGAAACTGATGGGCAAGGTACAGACCCAGAAGACCAGAATATGGGTAAGAATGCATCAAAGTATGGAAGCCATTTTTGGGGAATGGGAAGGAAGTAAGTTCCAATACATGTATTGATGTGGAGATTGAGAGAGAAGAGGAAAAGACAACTTGAAATGTTCAATCTGAACTTCAGTATTAGAAAAGAGCAAAGATAGAGTAGGAAGGAAGTGGAGGATTGTGGTCAAGATGAGGACTATTTTTTCTTTAACCTGTTAAATACTGATACTGGCAAACTAAGTAAGTAACCAACAGGCCATGGATGGAAAAGCAGATCTGGATTTAAGAGAAGGACAGGCATAGAGACTATCGAGGCGTATAAACATCAATGGTGGCTGAAGTCACAGTGCAAAGTTACAAGGGAATTCTTCGGCTCCACTGTGGTTAGGTTTAACAATAAAAAGTGAGAGGAATGTTATGTATTGCTTCCACTAAAAATTAGCTCTCAGAGCTTGCTGCCTATTGACTCTCTTTTTCCCTCCACCATAGAATTGGCCATATCCAGATAGTGGCTGCTTCAAAAACCTGAATCTGGTGTTAAAATTCACATGGAAAGAGGACACACAGCTCATATCTAATGTGAGTAATAAATAATTAGTTGTTGCAAAACTACTTGGATTTGGAGACTGTTTATTACTACCAAATAACCCAGTCCAATCTGACATAAACCATGGGAATAAATGAGAATCCTCAAATTTAAAAGTAAAGAAAATTCAAGTGACAGAATCACACAGAACTTAGGTAATTCTGAATTTGGCATTTTATAAAAGAGAAAACCATTTAATTACATTTGCAAAGGTACTTTGACTATAATGCCTTCATTTCTGTCTTTACTCTTTCTGTATCAAAAAAAATATGCATTAAAAAAACATGCTGAATCAGATAGTAAGTCTGGCTACTTTTGGAAAATGCTTCCTATATATAATATTCAGTAAGGACAATATTCCCTTTTACATGCAAACTATTGAGTATTCAATGTCTTTTTAAATATTACATTTGCCTATGCATTTTTTTTTGTGTGTGTGAATTCACCAATCTAACACTTTTCATTAGATCACAAGAATTAAATGTATGTGTAACATTAGAGAGTTTCTTCTAGCCTAGACATAGACAAATTAGGCTTTCTATGAACAATTAGTGGTTGATCCCTGAAAAGTACCATATGTTCACAATTCTAGCATGCAGACTGAGATAAGTAGTAAAAAAGAACAAAAACAAGATCGTAAACTAAGAAAAGCTAGCCCCATAGGTCATTTAGACATATTTATGACTCCAAGGAAGCAATCGAGACTCCCGTATATCACCAAGCAATACACAATTTAGGAATTTAAGAGAAAATATCTGTCAAAATTCTCTCTTTTACCAAGTAAGTTTGTAACCAAAACTTGTATTTTGTGAATATCCTAATCTTTATAGTTTAAAGAAAATCCCCAAATCAATTTTCTAATTCAAGTCCAGTCCACTTTTTATCCTTTTTACCATGTTTATCCAAACTCTGAGGGTTCTCATACACCAATGCTTTCCAAGCTTAGTGTTTTTCATTTCATTTTTTTCACTCATATAATTGGAAGAGGTTTTTTTTTTCTTTCATATAATTGGATTACTTTATTGAGATGATTTGGTGAAATCAATAAAATGTGATTTAACGTCTGTCATATGTATGGATAAGTTCCTAGATGACAGAAGATCCTTGTGCGTTACTCAGAAGAGTTATACTTTTGTGTTACTAACAAATGCACAATCTTCGATTCTAGAGCCTCATCTCCCTCTCCTTCTGCCAAGTATTTAACTGTCCTAGAAAACTAGTTCAGAGATTCATTTTGTTTCCAGGTTTGGACTCTTAATAAACATGGGGAATAAGCAGTAATAAAAAGGACAAGTTATTATTTTAAGAAAAATTCAAATTTGTCAGCTCAGGTACCCCTGGTTTATAATGCAATCAAACTGGATAAGGGGGCTATGAAATGGGTGGAGTTTTCTTGGACTCCATAGTTCTCCTAGAGAGTTTCATGGAAATTCAGTTTTACAGTTACAATTAGGCTTAAAACATCTGTGAATGTGCTAGAATCTCTACTGTCTCATCCTGTATGATTTTTTTTCGACCTAAGTATCTGTCCCTATAGGTTAGTTCTAATGCCCAATACTTTCTTCCTTTGGCTTTCAGATGTTTGTGATAACTTTACACATTTCCAATTAGCCCTCCTGTCCTTCTGGAATTTTCTCTGCCTCTGGACTGGAAGGGTGTTTCATGATTTCAATACCCATTCCACTGCTAGGTAAGTTATGGCATGTTTGTTTTATGTCGATTCTCTTCCATAGCTTATTACTATTCAACTTCTAGAAGGACAGAGCCTTTGTGACTACCACCTTCCATGTTCTAGTCTTTACATTAAAAGCTGGAAGTACACGTCACAATTCCTTTCAGTAACACAGAAAACATGCATTGGGGGGAGGGGACCTTCCTGACCCAAGTCAGCAGTTCAACCCACCATGCAAACATATTTTTTAATGATGTGCATGTTTAACATAGTAAGGATTTCTGCATTTTTAAAAGAGGAGTCAAATAGCCCAAATAGCCATTACTGGTTAAAAAAAATAGGTCTAGGAGTACAAAAATTCAGGAACAAGCAAAGATGATACTCTGAGCCTGGAGAGCAGGATCCTCTTTATTCTGCCTTCTCACTAAGGTGTTCACATTAGAAAGCTATCTGAAGTTCTCTAGGGCAAGAGTGGCTTTGGGGATCCCCATCTGTGCCCCAATATCTGGGAACAGAAATTAAACTCAACTACTTCATTACCACTCATTCCCCTATAGTCACCAAAATAATGCAGCAAGTCTTCAATTATGAAGCAAAAAAAACTCATGCTTTTCCTATAACTTTTCACATCTAAGTTAATAAAATGGCATAATCCGGCTCTTGTTCTGGATACCAGAAATGAATCTGACAAGCACTTCCCCATATCCCCTTTAGAGTGTGGTGGCACAAATTTGGATACATCAGAGAATCAAAGGGCTCCAAGAAGGTTCATTCACTTCAAGAGACAGTTTACAGAAGGATCTTCAACACATCAGACCAGGTATCAGAGCACAGAGATGACAGGAGCATCCAGATTCAGGGAGTGCACAGGGATCTCAAAAGGAGGGGGCATCATGCATCCTCTGCCAGTACTACCTGGGAAAAACACATGCAGCATGCAAAGGGAGCTCAGGGAGAGTAGCAGTATCCCGTTTAGAATCAAATAAGCATCAAGCATCACCTCAGATCCTTGGAGGGGCTTATATGTGTCCAGTGGACATTCCAGGTGTGATGAAGTTGTTTTAATTTGTTCTATTTGTTTACTACTCAGCATTCTACATTTGCCCCAGTCATGGCAAAAGATTCTCTTCTAGTTTAAGACATTCCCGTCAGTGAGGAGATGAACATTTCCTGTTCTTCACCATTGCCCTCTCCATTGTATAAAATGGAAAGCAACCAATTTCTACTAGTTCTTGTGTTCCAGACAGTAATTTATTAAAGGGACATCCATGCATCATACAGGACTTCCTTTTATATAAAATTGGAGGACCAGCAGCCTTATGTTTTAAAATGCCAGCTTAGAGAAAGCCCCCTGGCTTTCCCTGCTATGTGTGAATAAACTGGTCCTTTAGAGGAGCAATCCCAAGGGGCCATTCAGAGGCCATCATTTCACCACGAAGACTCTGTTAAAAAGAGTAATTGGTATCAATAACACTTACCTGTATATGCAGAGGGAAAGTTACCCAGCCATAACGAGCCCAGAATCACACAGCCACTAGTTAAAACAATGCAATGTTTGGAATTTATGAGAATAAAGCCTGTCAGTAATAATGCTCTTAATCGGGCCTTCTCGATTCATTTGGCATACTCTGCTGTGTACTCACGGTTAAATCAAATCTGCCGTGTGGAAATAAGCTAAGGGATTGTGTGCAAGAGGCGAAGGATACACTGAAAAGGTTCACTTCATAAAAAAGGAATATTGTGGACATGGCTTCCACATGGCCTTTGTGACTACTGTGCTCCTCTAAAAGCCACAGGACCCTTTCACCACGCAAAATGTGGACTATAACTAAGGATACTGGAAAAATGAGAGGAAACAGTTACCATTGTACAGAAAGATGGTTCAAGCGTGAATCAATGTGGCAGGCACATCATTAAACAGACATGGGGTTAGACAAGGGAGGGAACCCCCAAACAATGACAACGACAACGACGACAACAACAACAAAGATCATTGCTTAACCTGTTTTGTCAGAGCTGGTATTGATGGTATTGGTAGTGATGGTGGTGAAGGTAGTCTTTGCGCTGTCCTTGGCAGTTACAGATTTCTGCTTATTTTTCATGGCTTCCAGTGCTTTGAGCTTCTTGGCATGTTTCGTGCCTTTGTAGTGGGCCGCAGCCTGGCTCTACAAAGGAGAACAAAATGAACCATGCAATCAGGCTCATTTCTAAACTGGCATTCTCTGTATTACTGCAAATACAGACTCCCTTTCAATAACAGGTACCATGATGGCGGTGGCCAAGCAGTGGGATTCTATTTAGAATGATGCTAGAAAGCAATGGGAATCAAGTTCTAAAACCGCAGGACAGAAACAAGAAATATTTTCTGGTTTGTCTTAAGAGAAATGCAGCTAAATATTATCACATCCATGACATTTTTTGGTGGAGCAAGTGAAAAAAAAAATTTAAGAATTTACACCTGGGTTGCTTTTTGTTCTGCCACTGAAGAGTCTGGGCTCCCAAAGATTAACAAGGGGCCCAGAAAAAGAGTGGCTGTCATCTCCTTGGCTCAGGAAATCTGTTTTCTTTTTCTACCATGTGTCTTATTAATATAGTCTCCAACGGGTGTCTGCCAGGAAAATTCAAACATAACAAGGGAAGTGGGCACCCTGGAGACTGAGGCTGAAGCTTGAGAATGCAAAAGTGAATGCAATGCCTAGGTACAGTTGGAGTCACATGGAAGCTGGGCAGTTTTATGATTCCATCTTTCTCTTTGCTACCAATGAGGGATAGCCTGAGAAATTCAAGATAGTGTCACTCTTTCAACACATGGATCTTTCATGCCACAGTCCATTGTCAGAAGTCTCCAAGGTACTCCAACTTCCTAAAGGGGCCAATGCAATACTTTTGCCTATGCCTGTAGAGATTTTTTTTTTTTTTTAAACAGGGATATATGTTGCCCATGTTTATATTTCTTAGCACTATTTTATTTGGGGGTGGGTTTACTAAAGAGATGTGATAATTGCAATATAAAATCATCTTTAAAAAATATATAGATATTAATGTTGATTTAAAAGAAAAAGGACTTTGGGCTGAAGGGAGGTGGAGAAGAGGAGGTTTGTGAGGGTGGGCAGGGAGATACTTAGATCAGGTTTTTCAGGTCAAAATCTTTACAAAAATTCATCTCCCCCCCAAAAAAAAAAAAAATCTCAGTGGCAGACTATTTATATTAGATCAGACATTACTTCCCATGCTTATTTAAACTAAATGTTCCATTTTGTAATAATAATAATAATAATAATAATAATAATAATAATCACATTCTTCTCTTCACTCCACCACCTGCAATGGGCAGGGTGCTGCAGTTTAGTGTCTTTTGGTAAATAAATAAATAGACTGCACCTTCATTTGCATCATTCCAACAAGATATCTCACAGGACGAGGTACCCTTATTGAAAGAACACTGGACAAGGAAATTATATATTAGAAACAGTTTGAACAGAGAGCACACTCATGCATCAGTTACAAGTTTTCCAACAACACAGAACACCAAAAAAGGACATAGTGTGAACCAAAATAGAAGTTAAGACATGCTGTAGTTAATTAAGAAACCAGTGATAAGTTTAGATTGGTTTGATTCTAAGTGGGGAAAGTCACTGTGATAGACAGGTTTTTGTGTCTTTTATCCTGCTCAGTTTTCCTTTTTAATAAACCAAATCTCTTGGGAGCTATTTGCTATGGTCTAGATAGTTGATCATCTTTCCTGGCTATAGAGCTTCCCTTAAAACAAAGCTCCTCTCTTCTCTATGCTGGTACCCAGGGACCTGGGGACAGAAGTAAATGTTTTTAAAATGTATATTAAAAGATTGGGTATCAAATACTAGTGCTACCTCCACTTATACGTCCAAAATATAAATTTTAAAGGTTTCCTAGAAAATCTACACTCTCAGTTTTATTTACTATTAGACAAGACCATTTTAACATACCAGAGTCCAAGTGAATTTCACTGTTGTTGAAACTAAACTTACTCCAATAGAACTCCCAGAATGAACAAAAAGAAGCAAATTCCACAAAGAAGCCAAAACCCCATTCTGCACAAGTACAGACAGAACAGGTCCCTCCAGCAAGGAAGTCGTGGTGAGGAGCAGGTGACAAAATGACCCGTAGCTGGTAGGTTCACAATGGAGACACCCAATATTTTGAAATACAAAATAAAACAAACTGCATACTCACATCCACCTGGTCATCAAATGATAGTCTCAAAGTACGCTGATGACTAGTTTAATCACACAATATCTGATTTTTTAAAAAGGTGATTGCTCCTCCAAATTTGGGGGGGGGATGTCAAGTGACAGAAAGGTTCAAAGTGCTATCAAGAGACCAGGGCATGTAGAATACAGGGGAGATGAAGTGTAGTGGGGTGATGGCAGCAGAGGAGACCTATGTGATTGTGATTGTGTGGGGGCTGGTGTTGCGGGTAAAGGTGGCATCCAAATTTGAAACCTGATGTAGGCAGAGAACCAATTTCTCCATTGATTTTTATTTGATGACTTTAGAATGTGAGGGTTGTTCTTAAGTTTCCCTAGTCCAAATGCTTCTAATGTATATATATTGAACCCACAGCTCACAGGTTCACCTTGATTCAGGTATGTTGTATAAAGGTGTGCTCCTGTGTCACTGCAGAAAACCCAGGCAGTTCTCTTTAGAATGGATAGATTATTCAGTGATATCTAATCTTTCTCTAACTCCAGACAAAGTTGACACCTAAATAGGAACTCTGCAGAGAGATTTTTAAAAAGGAGCAGTTTTCCAGAGATGTCTATTTGGGCCTCTTCTGCCTCATCTTTAGGCATATAGGTACAGAATGGTCATAACTTCCATAAGCATACTATGTTGTGCCTGAAATTGTTTCTGAGTATTTAGTAGTCAGTCTCTGAATCGTCATTTGCAGAAACCTGGGAACCATCCAGACACAGCAAATGATCATTTTTCACAGGAATGACTACTTGGTTAAATAAGCAAGCACGCTAATATTATATTGCATCTCACATAGATGTGATCCAAACAGTAAAATGTAGGCTTTAACCACTGACTTTGGAGGAATAAATGGGATAGCAATGCATAAATATCACTATACTAATCTTAAAATAGCATATGGCACCATGAAATCTAACTAGTCATCCCAAAGGCAAGCGCTGATTCTAGAGACAGGCATACATATTCCTATAGAATAGAATGATGCCATTTTAGATGTCATTGCCATGTCCTAACTATCAATAGCCAGTCAGACTTTCCAGTCTTCAAATTTTAACCTCCATATTTCAAAATGGCACTTTGCTTATACACAACTAAAATTTTTAAGTAGATAAATCCACAAATGGCTAACAGTTGAGAGAGAGGTTCTGTCATTTTGAAACACACATACACAAATTTATATTTGTACCTTTACATATTTATATGTCTACATGTGTGCAATGCATATTACTCAAGAAAAGTATCAAGTTAATTTCCTTAAGAAAAAGTCCAAAAAAGGCAGTCAAAAATAGCCCAGAATTACATGTAATTGGGGAACTTCTATCCAAGAGGGGAGAACTCAAAACAGCAAATTAACCTTGGAAACCTCCTTAAAATTCCAGAACGAAAGTGGAAGTGATTGCCAACTCCTTGTGATTTTTCTCTTTCCTGGTTTTACCTTTTCTCTCCAAGGTAATTATTGTTGCAGCATGAACTCTGACACCATTACTTTTACCTCTAAATTGATTGCTTTGCAATGATCCAGTCTTTAAGGGTTGAAGGAAACACAGCTCTATAATAATTCTCTATAATAGTAAGCAAAAACTAAGCCTGTGGGCCGGGGTTTGGCTCAATGGTAGAGGCACATGTATGAGGCACTGGGTTCAATTCTTAGAATTACATATAAATAAATTAATAAAATAGAGGTACATCAACAACTATAAGAATATATTAAAAACAAAAAACAGCAACTAAGCCCTGTGTCATAACTTCCAAAACTTCATTATTTAGAAATATCTAAATTCACTGTTTTATTTTCATTAAACTGATTTGGTGTTAGCAATGCCTAGGTACATTCTTTATGCCCCTCTCTCTTTAGTCTAGGGAAGCCACTGGACAGCCAACAAACAAACAAAAATCTCTCTGGTAAGCTAGCTAAGAGCACTTTTCCTGTTACTATATTTACCAAAATATTTGAAGAAGAAATTTAAAGGTAGAATAATTTCATTGTTCTTGTGGCACAGATATTTTTATTACTTAATAATATGTCCCATGTAGAACATTTAATAATTTCTTATCTTGTGATTGTATGGTTAAATTTAAGTAGCAGAGTACATTAAGAATAAAATGAAAATTGACTCGCATTGTGTCCCAATGTAAAAAAAAAAAAAACATGATTCAATTAAGAGTATTCTTTGTGAGCGCCAGTGATTGATGCTTTACTTTGAATGTTTTTCTGTCTTCTGTGCTCTTCAATACAGGAATGAACAGTAGCAGCCATGGGAACAGAAAAAAAAAAAAAAAGATAATACTCCCAAAGTAGAGTGATTTTCCTACACCACTGGGAGGAAAACATCTAAACATAGAGAAAAGGGAGAGGCATGTCACATTTTCTCAGATAAGTAACTCTAATTTTTATAAGCAAAGAAGATACTTTTTTTCCCCCACTAAGTACTAATACAGTTAGGAGAACTAATCTAGATGGATTCACTTATCTTTTCAAAGCTTCACAAGTCGTCTACAAACTTCGTGATCTCCAAACATAAAGTATTTAATGTTTTCAAGTATCAAATGTGAATAATAAAATAGTGGGTGCTTACTGGAATTGAGAAAAGCATAATTTGAGAGTGTCTGCCTGGTTCCTGTCGTGGAAGCAACCACTGCTTTTGTATAGGTGGAACCTAAACAGCTGCCTCCTTGAATGCTAATGATGGAGCCCTGTTTGGGGGGTCATGAAACAACAGTGGGATTTGGAAACTGGCACACAAGGTTTCATCCAGCCAAAAAGAATGTAGACTCTGACTAAATTTGAGCAGTTCTTTTTTTTTTTTTTTTTTGGATGGATGTAAACCAGAGACCTTGAATGAGTTTTAACCCTAGTGATGTAACTGCAAACATTTCAGGTTTGTACAGAACAAAGCAAAGTCAGGAAAACCACTCTAACTACTCAACC